GAAAAGGTATTTCAGCCTTCCCATTGATGAGTAGTGGTTTATGGGTATGGAAACAAAATAAAGTTTATTTATGAAATGTACTTAAAATTATCTCAATATATGCAACAGGTTAATAGGTAGAAACATGGGAGGAACATTTATAGTCAGAGGGTAAGTCCAAATCAAGACCTAAACAGAGAAATTGTCTAATGGTTGTTCAAGTAGAAATAGCTAAGTATGGTGAATCACCAATGGTACACACAGAAATCAGTGGTGGTAATAGATAGCTAGAGAGTACTGTTCACTTCAAACAGTGATTACTATGAACCTATAATTATGTGCTCTTGAGAGAGCCTTGTGCCTTTCCCACTATAATTTCTAGTTCTTAAACTGGAACTCTATGACTTCAATTCAAATCTCAATGGCTTCTTAGCTATTAAATGTAGGCTTACCCATGAATAACCGCTGATACAATCCGCTATACCCTGCTGTACACAAGCAGAACTTGACAAGAATAATGAGTTTTCTCTTTGATTTCAATGTGTAATGATAGTTTGCAAAAAAAAAAAAATGACTGGCAGTTTGCTATAAAAATACTTGAGAGGATATCCTTGACTGAGCCAAAGAGCTTAACACAAATTTAAACAGTATTTCCGCCCAAGAAAACAGTCATTAACCTCATCCTAATTGTAGCACAATTCACACTTTAGCTAAATACCTGGGCAACTGTTTTGTGTTGGGGTTGGAACCAAAGGAGAGAGAAAAAGGAAGTCTGGAAGAGGAGGGGCTGGTAAAATACGCATGCTTAAATCCTGCAAAGTTTGCAAAAACAACAGGCCTCTTCAATTATATTTATTAACTGAACAATTTAGAATTTATTAACTGAACAATTTATTAACTGAACAATTTAGAATTTTGCTGTTAGTAGCTAAGCTATCTGTAGAAGACACCTACTTTTCACAGCACTTAAGTTATCTACTCTGATCTTAGAACTAATTCATGCCTGCATTTTGTATGATTCTTCCTTTTCCCACTTAATGCAAGATCTGAAATTTGAAATTTTGAATTGCTCTGTCCACTTGGCCTCCAATGACACTGGTCCTAGACTGAGAAGGCAACGAAAGAAAGCTATATTGTGCACAGAAACAGCTGCGGCCAGAGTGTTGGACGATGTGTGGGAATCAAGTACTTCTCTCTTTCTCATGTTTCAGAATAGAAGAAGGGACGTGGGTTAGAAATGACCTAATACAACCAATTTTATCCCACATGAGGAAGTTCCAGAAAAGTATTCAGATGAAGATAAGATTTATTATCGAATAAGGAGCTCATATACCCTTTTTAGTGGACAAAGGGTCAAAGGACAGACCATCAGAAAGATGACTGGCCAGGAAGATTGTCTTCCTTGTCACTAGCATTCTTCCTGTGGCTGCATATCCCACTCCTCCCAAGGAAGCTACCTACATGTTTATCAAATGACATACAGATCACATAAACAAACAGAAAAAGAA